GCGCCCAAGTGAAGATTTTTTAACAAAACCAAAAAGCAACACATTTCCTGCTGTGCCCTCGATGAGCCCTGCGGTCCCTGCTGCCCCTGTTCAGGGACTGTCACCTGGCAGTCACACCTCAGGCAAGCACAAAGCCTCCCAAACCATCCATCTCCTGAATCAGGAACAGGAAGAAATAATTCACCTATATTTACACATTTTCCAATTCCAGAATCTATCTTTACTTTTTATAAAACCGGGTTTTTTGCACAAAAGATCAGAGCCAGTGACAGCAGTACCTCTGGAACGCCGAGCTCTCTGTGAAACTGGGGGGCCCGTTCACCATGTACAGCCCTTCGGACCCTCTCACTGAAATGGAAACAAGGAACTCATTTCAAATTGTCCAAAGCAGTTGTGCTAAGTTGTGAACCCTAAAACAGGCACAGACGTTCCCCTGCTTGCTGTAAGGGCATCCAGGACGTGAGGTGTGCCTGAGCCCCCAGCCCAGCCGCCGGGATGGGGACCCAGAGCCCTGGGCAGCTCATGCCCCCACCTCGCAGCAAAGCAGTTTTTCTCATGTCTGAATGCAATTTCCTGGGGTTCAGGCCCTGACAGACCCCAAAGGGACCTTTTAACACACCCTAAATACAAGCCACAAGCTGCACACCCCTGCCTGCAGCCTGTTCTCTGCCATCAGGGCACCCATTGAGATCCAGATTTACAACAGGTTACAGACAGCACCGAGCGGCCCAAAATCCACCCGCAGAAGCTGCACCCCCCCGACCCAGGCGAAGGCAAATACGGTTTTTAAGGCTTAGAAACACAGAGAAGGAAAATACATCTCCCTGCTGTCAGGGGCAGCTGAACAGGGAGATGCTCAGAAGAGCGAGCGCTCTTAAGAGCCCTGGCACCGACCGAGCCCCGCGAGAACCCCCCCGCGCCCGAAGGGCGAACCCCGGACACGCGGCCCCGGGAGTTCTCGCGGGGTGCCGGGCCGAGCGGCGGCACCCACGGAGACGGCCCGGCGAGCCCTGCCCGGCCCCGGGAGCGGCACCGCCAAGGGCGCCAGGGCCGAGCTCGGCCACGCCGCGGCAGCGCTCCCTGCGGAGGGGACGGGTGGAGGGTACTGGCGGACCCGGACCGCCCCAGCCCGACGCCGCGCCCGCCTCCCGGCGCGGCCCGGCCCGACGCACCCGCGAGCAGCGGCGTGGGCGGCGCCATCTTGGCGGCGCCGGGGGGGGGGG